TGTACTTGCAATTGTTTTTGAACGAAGAATTAAGTTAAACCACTCACATTACAGTTATATCTTTTCTTTAAAATTGTGTAAGCTCTGGGGCACCTGGGTGGCTCAGTTGTTTGGTGTCTGCCTTCGGCTCAGGTCATGATCCCAGGGTCCTGGGATCGAGCCCTGCCTCAGACTCCCTGCTCAATGGGAAGCCTGCTTCTCCCTCTCCCACTCCCCCTGCTTGTGTTCCCTCTCTCGCTGTGTCTCTCTCTGTCAAATTAAATAAAATCTTTAAAAAAATTGTGTAAGCTCCAAGAAGGTAAGGACTGTGGTTTTCCTGGTTCATTGTTGTATCTCCAGCATCTGTTACAGTTCTTGACACATGGCAAGGGTTCAATAAGTGCTTGTTAAATGAATAATACCACACAATTTTAATGGGATGGCTATAATTGTTTGTATTTAGAATGTAACTTTTTAAAAGCAGGGTCTGTGGTTTTTAGGGTCTCTAGTGTATCTAACCTTATGCACATATGAGCACCCACTATCACTTTTAGGCAGTAGAATGCTGGTAAATATGTGTGGTGTAAATCTCCCACCAAGGTTGGTTTCAAGCTACCAACCTGATATTTCTGAACATGGAGCTGGGAATAGATGTGCTTGTTGTCTCTCAGGAGCCAGTAAGTACTGGCTCCAGCATATCACTGCCCAGGAGATGTTAATCCCCACTTACTCTGCCCTATCAAGCTTTGGATATTGAAACCTCCAAATTGTAGATTTAATATTATCCCCTCCCAAAGCAATCCTGAGCAAGCCTGGCATTTTACCAGGAGCTCTATTTCCACTAGAAGATGGGAGTCTGTAATTAGTATTGTTGCTATATTCTAGTAGTTTTCAAAGTAAAGTCCCAAGACCAGCAGCATCAGTATTACATGGGAACTTTCAACAAAATTCCAAGGCAAATTATTAGTCCCCACCCTAGGCCTATGTATCTAATCAGGAACTCTGGGGATTAGTGAAATCCATCTTTTAAACCCTCCAGGTGATTCTGATATTCAAATTTGAGAACAACTGCCCTAATCCAATAGGCTGGAAACAAGCTCCTCATGCACCTGCATTTTCAACCAGGTGCAATCTTTCCTACCTATACCCACATGTAATTTCGGTCACTTTGACTTAATTTCTGCCCCTTTCAATGAACTTTAGTCCACTTATCTGAAAGGATTAGTGTTTTTGCCTGAACCACAAATAAGACACTTGAGAATTACACACAGATGCCAGCAGAAATGGAAACAGTTACCTATACCAAGGACAACAATGTTAGTCTTCTTAGCCCAGTTGCAACTCCTTCTCCTGTATCCTTCCGGTAAACTTCTATTCTACACTCCACAGATTTTGGCTCTAGGTTGAAATGTCTGGAAAACTTAGACAAACATGATAGTATTTTTTTCTGTTGCCTACTTTTTCTCACAAATCCTCTAAACAGGTAAATTAGGTATGATTTTATTTTTGAGAGCCTCTAAAACAAAATGTAGGCTTAAAAAGGATTCCCTAAAGCAGCTGTAGAAAGATTAAAATATAATGAAGCTGTGTCTCCAATGATGATTTTATTAGTTGTCATACTATTCAAGCACTAAATCCTGGGACATCTTCCTAGAAAAGGCACTTCTCAGGAGCTTCTTCTTTATCCTGTCCAGGTCTACCATAGATGTACAGGATATATGCTAACAGGATGTATAAATACAAAGCACTAAAAACGAGAAAATAAGATATTTAAAATAAGGTAAAGATATATTTTAAATCACCAGAATCCACAAACAATAATATAAATTAGTAAAAGCCTTCAGTTCTGAGATGTGAAAGAAATTAAGGGTATATTAAAAGAAACTGAATTTTAATGTAAGTTTAAAAATGGCAGTAAAGGATCTAAGATGGTGGAATAGTAGGAGGATTCTAGGCTCATCTCGTCCCTCAAACACAACTAAATAACTATCAAATCATTCTAAATACCCCAGAAATCAACCTAAAGACTGACAGAGCAAACTCCACATCTAAAGGGAGAGAAGAAGACACATAGAAGAAAGTAAGAAGTGTGGAGACATGGTTTAAAGGAGAGATTGCAGGTGCTTAGGAGGACAGAAGCCATAGTCACAGAGAAGGGTGAGAAAGGAGCACAGAGGGGAGTGCACAAGGAGAACATTTCCCCAAAGCCAATGGCTGGGAAAACAAGAGGGGCTGATTTTTGTGAGTTCTTGCAACCAGCAGGGCTTAAAGTCTGGAGTTTTAAAGATCAGCAGGCTTGGCTGGGATAGAGCTCTGTAGGTGCTGCCCTACTCCTGGAGAGAAGACAGGGAAACAACCCAAGGGCAGAAGGCCTGGAAACAACAACTTGAAGAACGCCTGGGGTACAAAGGGGAGATTTTTTTGCTCTTCTTGGAGAAGAAGAAGAAGAGCTTGTCCCTGAGAGGCAGAGTTCAGGGAGACACTGCTGTGGGGACATTCCTTTAACCACCCCTCAGCATAAACACAGCTCATCTCCAACACTGACTGCCTGACTTGCTTACACCAAGTCCCACACCCCTGTGCTCTGGCATGACAGCCCATTTTGGTCAAGCTTGTCTCAGTCCCAGCATGGTGGGACCCTCCCCAGAAGACCAGCACAGGCCCCTGCCTACACCATGTCCCTAAAGCCTGGAGTTTCAGAAGGCTACAGGCTTGGTTGGGTTGGAGCCCGGGGGGCACTATGCTGCTTCTGGAGAGAACGCAAGCAAACAACTGGAGGCAGACAGTATTGAAACAGCAATCTGAAAAATGCCTGTGACACACAGTGCAGAAAATTACTCCCTCTTCTCAGAGTGCTTCCCTGAGAGGCAGCGTGCACAGAGATGTCTCTCCAGATGCCTCTCCTCTCCTACAAAGGAGCTTGCTGGTACCATTTCCCTCCCTCACCCCTTAGCATAAACCTGGAGTAAGCAGCATGGCTCCTACATTGGTTGCCTAAGCTGCTTACATCAAGTCCCACAACTCTGTGCTCTGGTAGTACCTCCCTCTCAGCTAAGCTAGCCTCAGTTCCAGTGTGGTGGGTCCCTTTCCCAGAAGACCAGCAGTAATCCCTGCTGACACCACATCTCCTGACCAGATTGTTCTACAGGGCTTCAGTTCTAGCGGAAATAGTATCATTTAACAAGCAGACCAGAGCACACCTAGTTAAAATCACCACATTCTGGCAAAGGACCAAACACTGCCCACTGCAGGTAAAAAGAGCCTTTGTAGATGAGTGGTGTGAAAAATAGAGCAGCCAAAACACAGCAGCAGAATGCCCACAATACACACCAGAGACACTCCCAGAAGCACCAAGCTCTGGACATTATATGACCTCTTCTTCATAAAGAAGTCTAACACACAGAAAAAGGCTGTTCTAACACACAGAAAAAGGCAGAAACTTAGACAAAACACCAAGATCAAGGAATTCATCCCAAATGAAAGAACAAGAAAAGACCATGGCCAGAAATCTAAGTGAAACAGATATAAGTAACATGCCTGATGGAAAATTTAAAGCAACAATCATAAGGATGCTGACTGGGCTTGAGAAAAGAATGGAAGACCTCAGGGAGGCCCTTACCCCAGAGATAAAAGAATTAAAAAACAATGAGTCTGAAATGAAAACTGCAATAACTGAAATTGGAAACATACTTGATGCAATGAACACAAGGCTGCAAGACACAGAGGAATAAGTAAGTGATACAGAAGACAAAACAATGGAAAACAATGAAACTGAACAAAAGAGAGAAAGAAGTATGGAACACAAGAATAGACTTAGGGAACTCAGTGACTCCATCAAATGTAATAGTATTCATATTATAGGAGTCCCAGAATAAGAAGAGAAAATGGGGCAGCAAATCTATTTGACAAAATAATAGCTGGAAACTTCCCTAATCTGGGGAAGGAAATAGGCATCCAGATCCTGAGGCTCAGAGAACTCCCATCAAAATCAGTAAAAGCTGGGAGAGAAGAGCTAAGATGGCAGTACTGTAGGAGGACCCTAGGTTTGCCTGGTCCCTTGAACATTCTAGATAGCTATCAGATCATTCTGAATACCCAAGAAATCGACCTGAGAATTGATAGAACAAACTGCACAATTAGAGGGAGAGAAGAGGCCATATTGAGGAAGGTAGGAGGTGCAGAGATGTGGTTTGGGGGAAAAACTGACCACCGGTGCTGTGTAGGGGAGGGAGCCCTGGACATGGAGAAAAGTGAGAGAGAGTGGAGTGCACATGGACACACACAAGAACACTTCCCCAAAGCTATTGGCTGGGAAAATGAGAAGGGTTGATTTTTGAGTTTTTACAACCAGCAGGGCACAAAGACTGGAGTTTTAGAGGTCCCTGGGTTTGCCTGGGATAGAGATCAGAGGACACTGCCCTACTCCTGGAGAGGAAGCAGGCAAGCACCACAGGGCAGACTGCACAATCTGAAGATTGCCTAAGATGCACAGGAAGAGACTATTCATACTTTTTGGAGTGCATATGTGAAAGGTGACATTGCCTCTCTAGGGACAAAAGAACAGTTGGGTGTCATTTCCCTCCCCCGCCCCTCAGCATAGGTGCAGAGACACCTGCTGAAGGCATCTAAATGGGACACAGGCTGTTTAGCCAGCTATGCTCCAAATCCCCTTCTCCTGTGCTCTGTGGTGACTGCATCAAACCTGCATCAGTCCCAGGGCAGCGAAACCCTTCCAGAGGACCAGTGCAGGTCCCTGCCACAACAGGTCCCTGATGTTTGGAATTTTAAAAATCAGAATGAGTGGCTAAGATAGAGCCCAAGGTGCACTGTGCTGCTCCAGGCAGGCAAGCAACCCAGAGACAATGTGAAAACCGTGATCCTAAAAATGCCTGGGATGCACAAGGGGAAGTTATTTGCTCCTCTAAAAGTGGTTCCCTGAGAGCTTTAAGAACAGACTCCCCAGCCCGGGAGTTCCAGGTTTGTTTTTTTCTTCTCCTGGACAAGAGGCCTCTGCCACAACCATGTTACACCAGATCATCGGTCAGGCCAAGAAGCATCCAAGCTTGATCCCCCTCTTCATATTTATTGGGGCAGGAAGTACTGGAGCAGCACTGTATGTCTTGAGCCTAGCATTGTTCAATCCAGATGTCAGTTGGGATAGGAAGAATAACCCAGAACCCTGGAACAAACTGGGTCCCAATGATCAATACAAGTTCTACTCAGTAAATGTAGATTACAGCAAACTGAAGAAAGAAGGTCCAGACTTCTAAATGAAATGTTTCACTATAAAGGTGCTTAGAATGAAGGTTTTTCAGAAGCCATCTGTGCAATTTTCCACTTACCAGGAAATATTTCCCCTCTAAATGCACGAAATCATGTTGGTGTATTGTGTTGGGGTTTACATTGAATAATAAATATCTGAAACCTGAAAAAAAAAAAAAACAGACTCCCCTCCCTGGGAACAAAGGAGCTGGCTGGCACCATCTCCCTCACCCACACCTCAGCATAAACCAACTTAGTAAACAGCACACAACCAGCACTGCTGCCTAACTTGCTTACACCAAGTCCCACCATCCTGCATTCTGCTGGTACTGCTTTTCTTGGGCAAGTGTGACTAAAAACCCATGCAGTGGGCCCTTTTACTAGAGACCAGAAAAAAACCCTGCATGTTCCATGTCTACTGACCACAGAATTCTGCAAAGCTTCAGTTCTAGTGGAAATAACATAAAGTCTCCTTTAACGAGCAGACCAGAACACATCTAAAAAATCACTACACTCTGGCCAAGGTCCAAACACTTCCCAATGCAGGCAATGAGAACCTCTACAGATGACTGACCTGAGGGATACAGCAGTCAAAACAGAGTAGGAGAGTGCACATGGGACCCACCAGAGACACTCCATGAAGAGCCAGGCCCTGGACACTATATGATCTCTTTTTAATAAAGCCATAACTCTCAGGATCAGGACACATAACAGGCATTTCTAACTTACAGAAAAAGACACAGACCTAGACAAAATGCGAAGACTGAGGAATTCATCCCAAAAGAAAGAAGAAAAGGTCATGACCAGGGATATAATCAAAACAGATATTAGTAATATGCCTGATCCATAATTTAAAGCAACAATCATAAGGATACTAGTGGGCTTGAGAAAAGCATGGAAGACATCAGGGAGACCCTTACTGCAGATATAAAAGAACTAAAAAAGAAAATCAGGCTGAAATGAAAAATGCAATAACTAAGATTCAAAACCAACTGGATGTAAAGACCACAGGGAAGGAAGAAGTAGAACAGATAAGTGATATACAATAAACAATTATGGAAAATAATGAAGCTGAACAAAAGAGAGAAAAGAAAATATTGGATCATGAGAGTATACTTAGGAAACTCAGTGATTCCATCAAATGCAACATCATTTGTATCATAGGAGTCCCAGGACAAGAAGAGAGAGAAAAGGGGAAGAAGGTTTATTTGAGGAAACTATGGCTGATAACTTCTCTAATCTGGAGAATGAAACATACATCCAAATCCAGGGGGCACAGAGAAATCCCATCAAAATCAATAAAATCAGGCCAACACCAAGACATATTGTAGTTAAATTTGCAAACTATAGTGACAAAGAAAACTCCTAAAATCACCAAGACAAAAGAAGTCCCTAACTTACAAGGGAAGACACATAAGGCTAGCAGCAAATCTCTCTACAGAAACATGGCAAGCCAAAAAGAAGTGGCATGATATATTCAACATGCTGAGCAGGAAAAATATGCAGCCAAGAATACTCTATCCAGCAGGCTATCATTCAGAATAGAAGGAGAGATAAAGAGTTTCCCAGACAAATGAAAATTAAGGGAGTTCTTTACCACTAAACCAGTCCTGCAAGAAATATTAAAGGGGGGTGCCTGGGTGGCTCAGTCGCTAAGCGTCTGCCTTCGGCTCAGGTCATGATCGAGTCCCACATCGGGCTCCCTGCTCTGCGGGAAGCCTGCTTCTCCCTCTCCCACTCCCCCTGCTTGTGTTCCTGCTCTCACTATCTCTCTCTCTGTCAAATAAAAAAAAAAAAAGAAATATTAAAGGAGACTCCTTGAGTGGGAAAGAAAGACTAAAAGCAAAAAGACTAAAAAGGAACATACAAAATCTCCAGAAACAATGACAAAACAATTAATAAAATGGCACAAAATACGTATCTATTAATAATTACTCTGAATGTAAACAGATTAAATGCTCCATTCAAAAGACAGAGGGTGTCAGAATGGATAAGAAAATAAGACCTATCTATATGCTGCCTACAGGAGATTCATTTTAGACCCAAAGACACGTGCAGATTGAAAGTGAGATGATATAGAAATATTTATCATGCAAATGGATGTCAAAAGAAAGCCAGAGCAGCAATACTTATATCAGACAAACTAAATTTTAAACCAAAGACTGTAACAAGAGATGAATGGCACTATATCATAATAAAGGGGAGTATCCAACAAGAAAATCTAATAACAATTGTAAACATTGATGGCCCCAACTTAGAGAACACAAATATGTAAAACAATTAATAACAAACATAAAGGAACTCCTTGATAATAATACAATAATTGTAGGGGACTTTAACACCCAGTTACATAAATGGACAAACCATCTAAGCAGAAACTCAACAAGGAAGCAATGGCTTTGAATGACACTGGACCAGATGGACTTAACAGATATATTCAGAACACTTCATCCTAAAACAACAGAATACACATTTTTTCAAGTGCACACGGGACTGCTCCTGAACAGATCACATACTGGGTCACAAATCAGACTTCAATAAGTAGAAAAAGATTGATCATAAGATGCATATTTTCTTTTTTTAAGATTTTACTTATTCATGAGAGAGAGAGAGAAGGCACAGGCAGGGAGAGGAGAAGAGGAACCCGACTCAGACTCCTCTCAATCCCAGGACCCTAGGATCATGACCTGAGCTGAAGGCAGATGTTCAACCAACTGAGCAACCCAGGCAACCCTGATGCGTATTTTCTGACCACAACACTAGGAAACTTGAGGTCAATTACAACAAAAAAATTTGGAAAGACCACAAATATATGGAGGTTAAAGAACATGCTACTAGAGAATGAATAGGTCAACCAGGAAATTAAAGAACAAATTTAAAAATACATGGAAGAATTGAAAATGAAAACATGATACTCCAAAACTTTTGGGATGCAGCGGAAGTGGTCCTAAGAGGGAAGTATATAGCAATACAGGCCTACCTCAAGGAGCAAGAAAAATCTCAAATAAACTACATAACCTTACACCTAAAGAAGCTAGACAAAGAATAACAAGCAAAGCCTAAAACCAGCAGAAGAATGGAAAAAATAAACACTGGAGCAGAAATAAATGATATAGAAACTAAAACAAAACAAAATAAGAAATAACAACAACAGTAGAACAGATCAATGAAACCAGGAGATGTCTCTTTGAAATACTTGATATAATTGATAAACCCCTAGCCAGACTTATGAAAAGGAAAAGAGAAAGGACCTAAATAAATAAAATCACAAATGAGAGGAGAAATAACAAGACTACAGAAATAAAAACAAGGATAAGATAATATTATGAAAAACTCTATGCAAACAAATTGGCCAACATGGAAGAAATGGATAAATGCCTAGAAACATATCAACTAACAAAACTGGAACAGGAAGAAATAGAAACTTGAACAGAATAATAACCAGCAAAGAAATTGAATCATTAATCAAAAATCTCCTAACAAACAAAAGTCCAGGGCCAGATGGCTTCAAAGGCAAATTCTACCAAATATTTATATTTTTATTTTATTTTGTAGTTTTTTCTTTAAATCCAATTTAGTTAACATAGAGTGTATTATTAGTTTATGGGTATAATTTAGTGATTCATCAGGTCCATATAACACCCAGTGCTCATCATATCAAGTGCCCTCCTTAATGCCCATTGGCCATTTATCCCATGCCACCACCCACCATCCCTCTTGCAACCCTCAGTTTGTTGCATATTGTTAAGAGTCTCTTATGATTTGCCTCCCTCTCTGTTTTTATCTTATTTTACTTTCCCTTCCCTTCTCTATGTTCATCTGTTTTGTTTCTTAAATTTCACATATGAGTGAAATCATATGGTATTTGTCTTTCTCTGACTTATTTCACTTAGCATAATACACTCTAGTTCCATCCACATCATTGCAAATAGCAAGACTTCATTCTTTTAGATGTCTGAGTAATATACCATTATACATACATACCACCTGTTCTTTATCCATTCTTCTGTTGATGGACATCTGGGCTCTTTCCATGTTTTGGCTACTGTGGACATTGTTGCTTATAACATTGGGGTGCATGTGCCCCCTCAAATCACTATTTTTGTATCCTCTGGATAAATACCTGTAGTTAAATTCCTGGGTTGTAGGGGAGTTCTATTTTTAACTTGTTGAGGAACCTCCATACTGGTTTCCAGAGTGGCTGCACCAGTTTGCATTCCACTAACAGCATAAGGGGGTTTCCCTTTCTCCACATCCTCACCAACATATGTTGTTTCCTGATTTTTTAATTTTAGCCATTCTGACTGGTGTGAGGTGGTATCTCATTGTGGTTTTGATTTGTATTAGCCTGATGATGAGTGATGTTGAGCATTTTTTCATATGTTTGCTAGCCATTGGTATGTCTTCTTGGAGAAATGTCTTCAGCCTATTTCTTAACCAGATTTTTTATTTTGGGGGTGTTGAGTTTGATGAGTTCTTTATAGATTTTGGATACTAGCCCTTTATCCATTTTGGATACTAGCCCTTTATCCAATATGTTATTTGCAAATATCTTCTCCCATCCCATTGGTTGCCTTTTAGTTTTATTCATTGTTTCCTTTTCTGTGCAGAAGCTTTTTGTCTTGATGAAGTCCCAATAGTTCATTTATGCCTTTGTTTCCCTTGCCTCTGGACAAGTGTCTAGCAAGAAGTTGCTGTCGCCAAGGTCAAAGAGGTGTTACCTGTGTTCTCCTCAAGGATTTTTATGTTTTCCTGTCTCACATCTAGGTCGTTCATCTATTTTGAATTTATTTTTTTGTATGGTATAAGAAAGTGGTCCAGTTTCTTTCTTCTGCATGTGGCTGTCCAATTTTCCCAGCACCATTTGTGGAAGAGACTGTCTTTTTTCCATTGGACATTCTTTCCTGCTTTGTTGAAGATTGTTGACCATAGAATTGAAGGTCCATCTCTGGAGTCTCTATTCTGTTCCATTGATCTATGTGTCTATTTTTGTGCCAGTACCATACTG